CAAGGACTTGATTGTGACCAATTCGGTCTCGTGTGCTTTTTATGGCTATGAGGGCGGTTATCACTTCCCGGCTGCCCACACCGTAGAGGTATAGTTCTTGAGGAACCTGAAAGAGGAATCGAGTTAGCATTGGTCTGGGCGACCTGAAAGCGTGATTACAGAGGCCAAACGACAACTACACACAACCTTTTTATTAAGAGCTTTTAAAATGTTAGCTCCGCTCAAGCGGCCTTGCCGCTAGAGACGAAAACCCGTGGGGTAAGGTGAGGTGTGACATTTTTAGGGTCGACCTTTTCTAACCCCTCTCTTCCTTGTGAGAAGGCAGCGTCGCTGCAGATCCTGGTTGTCCGAGGAAAAACCCTTACTGCCGTCACACCCCTCTACAGTCAGCAGTACGACTTAGCTCTCAGACCTTGAGTAGCTGTTTTTAGTCTCATCGTTATCCAGTCGACCTATCTGTCATGGTAGAACCTACAGGAACGAATGTGACAGCCAATATAGCTCGGTTTGGTCATCACGATGCGCAAGTGCGACCATCACGACAAGGTAACAGCTACGTTTGGGTCCGATGTTGGATTAATCAAGTTTAGTGAAGCTCCATAACGATGGCATATGTTTTCGATGACCGTGACTTAAACATTTCTCGATCTGTTGCCTGATTTATGGGGTGGGCGAGATATCCGTCGTTTAACCAAAGCACGAGTATACCTCGCAACAGTTCGCTTAGCCGTGAAACATAGCCAGTCAGAGTGGGAGATATTATTGGTTACTGGTTTTCGATCATCTATGTCTCTGAAGCATTGTTCGTTTTTCTTGGGTTTATGGAGTAAGCAATGCTGCTGTTAGGGAACGAGTTCTAGCTAGTAGTGGCAGATCAATAAATGAGGTACTGAAACTTCACCAGATGTGGTGGTGGGGATATGGACTACGTAGGCCTAACTATCAACCTCCTTGAAGAGTGATGACGTACTGAGAATCTCGAAATCTATCGTCGGCAAAACACTGCTGCTTCTCCTATTTTTTACGTCTAATAGACGTAATTCGAAAAGAACAGTAGTTGGCTCTTTTCGCAGTGGTCTTAACAACCACTGATCTCCGCTGGTGAAAATTACGAATTTTATTCCGGAGAATGCGTTCTCATACTATAGAGTAGCCGTCGAATTCAGGATACAGAGTAAGAGCTAAAGATCAGCATTCTTGTTTTAAGTTATTATTACCATCTGGATGCCAAATCAATTCCGAGGATGAGTGGTCATAAAATCCAGCATTCACTGAAAGCATTTTTTCCAAGTTCGTAGATTTTGAGGAACTGGATCAAATCCCTATGGAAAGATTGTCTATTTAGCGGTGGTAAATAGTTGGACAACATTTCTGAATGCACATAGAAATTCGGTATATCTGAGTTTCCATTACTTGTTGAGTGGCAGTTGAAGTTCCAGTTCGACTTGTACTTAACTGTGGCTCTATATAAACTACCTTCGTAAAATGTTGCACTTTGACTGATTAGCGAAACGTTTTCACTTACCAACCTCTGTTTCTTCGGATGGTGTGCGAGGCCGTCTGTTCAGAATTATAATACAGCTAAGCACAAGTTAATAGATAAAATTGAAACAATACATCTGGCTTGCTGATCTGGCCCAGAGACTGAAGTCTCATCGGTACATAGTGAAGATGACGCGTACTGTTGACTGGGACATGAGAATGAGGTCTCTGATGGACCTTGTGTGAGGTCCGAAGCCGCTAGCATAGTGCACTGTCAACGACGAGACCTGGTTTGAAATGACCAATTCCGACAGTGCCGATCAACCTTAAGGGCCTTCTCGTGGCGGGAAATCATATGAAAAGGTCAAAGATGATGCTACGGTTTATGTGCCGAATTTGCTCGTTTGAAAACATGTTAAGAGGTAAATAAATCTCGATAGGTAGAGACCTGTCGATCGCATGTACGCAGATAGTCGTTAGACATTACCTGATACACAAGAAATCGCTCTTCCGTGGTATGAGAAATTCTAAGGTTAGACGTTTGCTGTGCCGCACACAAGTTTAAAAACGGAACATTAAATGTCTGCTGCTGATGCTCTGTAACCGCTGCACGGTCTTCAACCGACGCCATCTTTTTCGCGAACTGAGTGAAGAGTGGAGGCCTAAGGATATACAGCAAGTAAATTTTCAAGCTCACGATTAGTGAAGGCTAATTAGTCCATTGCCAGTCAGTAAAGTTTTGTCATGACTAAAGGTTCGTGGGTGACGATGTGGCTTACCACATAATCAACCACTGATAGAACCTCGGTTTAGTTAACTGGGGGAATTTATCAAGTATAACATGAAATAAATGATCATGCAAAAAATACCCTAGTCATTAGGTGCACATCTGTTGGAGCTTTGAGACCCTTTAATATTATATATAATAAAATGTAGACTGAGTGCAGCCTATATGAATCGAATGGCAGTTCATAGTGCTGAAGAGAATCGATACCGAATACAGCTACTGGGACTTCATTAGGAATGAGCATCCACAGATACTGTCTCAGGTTACTCATGTTGATCGTTAGCTATAGTACCGTAGGTAGGAATGGCAGGGATGTTCCATGTGCTCAGTCGAAGCGTTGTAGCTTGAGACTTGCTGCTACCTGACGATATGACAGAGACTTAGGCACCTGTGTCCACTGGGTAACTAGCGTCAGTGTGACAGTCGTAAACACAAAATAGAAGACCAAACTGGGGTGGCGAGTCGACCAGTACGACTGCGAGAAGGAGCTACAGCCGTTCGTGATCATAATTTGGTTGGAATGGGGGGACGGTTTCGGAACTTGAGACGACTATGGATGCAACAAACCCGATCCATTTGATCTGGAGGGTGACTAGTGTCAAGATCCGTGTTGGGATGTGACTTGGGGAAACAATATAGTTGTCCCCGGAGCTAGTCCTCGCAAAGATTTTATTTGCCATGAGGACTACCTTGGAAAGCGGCGCATCCTCAAGCAGAGATGTGATTGTGGGCTGTATTTGAGCTTGTACTGCTTCGAGCCGCAATTCCCCGACCATGTCAGAGTCGGCTGTCGAGGGTCCTGCCAGAGAGTAAGACACGGGAGGTGGTGGCTCGATTAGGCTTCACCCAGGGGTGATGTGTCAATAAGGTTTTCGTTGTTCCTACCTTGATGGGAGGAAATGTCTGAGAATCGCTTCACTTAGACAATCGTAGATGTCAGGTGCATTAGATTTAAGGAAGACCCCGGGGTCGGCAGCTTTTTGATCCGCAGGAAGAAGTTCCAGGGCGTAATCATATTTCTAGCGCTGCCTTGTGATGTAGAGGATCTCAAATTGAGTATCCAGTCCCGCAAACCAGACCTCTGGATCATGGGGAATAAGAGAAACTGGTCGGAATTTGAAAAAATGTACCTCACAGTCTATGAAATCATCAGAATTCTTATGACTATCTATCACTTTGAGACGTTTTTACAAGTATTATAGATATTGAAAGATATTAGTATAATTACTGCAGCAAAAAATGGGGATAGAAAAATAATTTACTAACTATAATTGGCTTTCTTCGTGAAATAAACGTCATCTCACCGAATGTAGTGGTGGTTGTTCGAGTCGAGGTTGACTTTGAACATCACTAAAAACCAGTTACGTTTTAGTCTTAACGCGTAGCTCCGTCGTGAATCAAAAACAGGGAGGAAGAGATATTACAGATGAAGGAGTATATTTGCTGGCGATTTCGTGGTATCGAAGGAAACAGAAATCGTGCGAGAAATGGGCGAAGATAAACTAAGTGGCAAAAGCGGTTGACATATCTTCTAGATTAAACACCGTCGAAGGTCTGTTGCCATTAGTAAATGAAACAGAGGGAGAGGAAAGAAGTTGGACTGTTATAGAGACATTGATGAGTGTTGAGGCTCACAATCTGCACATTCACAATGTCGTAACACCCTCTCCCTGAAAGTGACATAAACCTCTTGGATCGAGTTCAGGGACAAAAAACGAAATGGATAATTGGGTTGAAGAACAAACATTACGAAGATAGGCTGCAGAACTCGGCCTTATTATCCCTCAGTTACAGAAGAATTAGAGTACCGCAAATCAAGCACGCCGAACTATCCCAACGTGAGCCTCTTACCGGAGCATCAATACCACGCCCCTCGAGCTAATGCTCGAAAAATTACTCATTAAAGGGCCAACAATCAGGTTCGTGCTCACTTTTTCTTATTAAGGGTCGTTGCAACTTGGAATGCTCTCCCAGCCGAGGTGACCAAAGCCCCCTAAGTTGACAGTTTTAGGAAGAGACTTTATGAGCAAGTACTGACATATAGATTATCATCTCCCTCGTGGAAGAATCGAGCTAGATGCATGTCTCGAAACCTGCTAGTTGTTAATAATGCCATCTCTTCAGATCATCAGCCTATCCCGCCGATTATCTCTGTTTCCTCTTCATCGCTTACACTTCGGTCCAATCGCAAAATCTGCACTACCAATAAACAAACTACACTATCCATTTATCTACTTATTTCTGGAATCGTGTTAGCATTAGAATTTTCTCCCTGTTATTCTCCAAGTTGCACCTAACTGGTGTCTCGCCTGGTGACGTTATAGCTGCTGATTTCCATCTCTACTGCCCTGAAACAAATGTTTTCGCTCAAATCACGTCACATACAAATTTAGAACCTGCTGCTAGCTGACTAAAATTAGTGTAGTCAAGTGGCCAGACTCCCATCCATTGAACACTTCCAAATGCTTGAAACCGAACCGAAAAGATAAGAAGTGAGAGCGAAGAAATTAATTGTATTATATTAGCTCGTGAAAAAGATATTGGATATTGGAGGCGGAAAGTTTGGAGATTTCGTAATCAGCTGATTATGTCCAGTGATAATAAAAACCAAAATGAAGTGGAAGTTATGGAATATACAACTGTTAAGGTATAATGATTCGGTAACGTTAACCCTCCGTCAAAGGCTAGTTATGAGTCACTTAATAAGCGATACAGGCGCAACCATCGAGACATGGAAAAAGGCATTGCTGCCTTAAATAAGTCTCTGGACGAGTTGGAAAATGCAACAAACATTACTAACGCTACAGCAGCACTTAGCAAAGTTTTGGAAACCGTTTGCGGCGTTAAACGAAAGGTAGAAAAATGCATATCCTGACTGATTTTCCTTAAGGCCGAATATGTATGTATTGAAGAAAGAAAGCTGTTAAAATCATGTAAACGCAGAATCGGACATCTCAGTCAGCTATGTTTGCTGGATGCTGGGGTTCTTACTCCAGTTTCAGGTTAGTGTTATTGGAACGGCCGATACATCATTTTCGAAACCATATGTAATATCATACTAGGTTGTCGTAGGCTGAACCTCATTAAATACTCGTAGTAATAATCATCCCTATAGGTGAAAAAACTGAATACTTTCCACCAGGTTTTTAAGATATCGTGAAGAAACAGTAAGTATTAAGCAATATCGGGGAGCTCGTTCGCACGCTGTATGTAATGTGAAAGTTCGTGAACACCACTGAGGTACTCCATTATGTAATGGTTTCCTAAAATATAATCCATAGTTTTCTCTTATTTTATATCTAAGGCCTACAAAAGCATGTTTTATCCAGCTTAGTGGATATCCAGAAATGTCTACACTTCCCAACTTCGATAAGATTCTATTATATGATACCTTATCAAATGCTGTGGTGAAGTCAATCTGAATAGTATCTACTAAATCTCCGTTACCAGACAACTCCGTCACCTCATCATTGCTGCAAGGCTAGTTCTACATTATAGACTCTCTTAAACCTCTTTGATCACTGTTTAGCCAGTTGTTGGTTCCCACGTTGGTTCTAAGTGGTCATAATAGTCATAATGGTGATTCTTTCCAATATTTTAACTGTGACACTGGCGAGGCCGAAAAATCTGTAGTCTGAGAGCATCAGTCCTAATTTTATCTGGTGGGTTTAAGGGACAGTCGCATCCCTCCAGTCCACAGGTAACTCGCTTTTTATGGGTGACATCCATGATAAAGCTTGATATCAGATATCAGAAAACGTGTTCAGTAGTGTACCACTTTAGTTTAGGTGTATTGAAACTTTCTGCTTCTAACGATTTCAATGAATCTTCGGAAGTCTAATCATAAACCATAGAGTATTCAGTCTTTCATATAGAGTATTTTGTATGACTAGGGGGCGTGTGGTAATTCTTCAATATTCAAGTGTAAATGATGGCTTTTCTATATTAAGGTTGTAAATACATAACAAAAGTCTGGTTGAGCTTGAAGTTACACTCTATGCCAGCTTCATAAAAAGGGGTCAAGAAGTATTGATACCAACATCGCCTATCAGTCAAATGCGGTAAACAAAACTAGTATCAAATAGGAAGAACGTAGAAGAGAATAATATGTTTTAAGTTTCTGAGGGCACAAACATTTAATAAAACTATCTGTTGTTGGCAGTTTTGAAACATAACGTTTTAAAGTCACTAACAATCAGTCGCATTTTTTCCACAAACACCAATGTTAGGAGCTACAACTCACTGTGCAACCTAAACAATGGATCGATGTCACATCATTTTTTGAATCAAGAACTATCTAACTAAAAAATTACGATGGCTAACAAAATTATGGAGGTTTGTCACTGTTTAATTACAAGCTTTTACCAAATAATCAGTGATTAATCACGGTTTAAAACTATTCGAACCGACATAGGTACTCTTTCGTAGTAATGAGGCACATACAAAAACATGGAGGCTCTAGCTTATTTACTTACGCCTATTACCATTCGTGACACATAGGATGCCGACAAGCATTCTCCAAACCACTCTGTCCTATGATCTCATAGTTGTTACTAACTACTATTCATTCTTTCGATGTTTGTTTCTGACTCGGTGCAATGTTTTCTTTAGTCCTCCTCTTTTCCTTAGACCTTAAAGATTCCAAGTGACGGCTTGCCATGTGACATAGTTGAATGTTTTCCTCATTGTATGTCCTATCCAACTCCAGCGCTTCCTCTAATTCCCAGTTGGTTCGTTCTCTCCTACAGTAAGTTGTTACTGATGGTGTCTGGTCAACGGATCCTCAGTATCTTGAGTAGAAAACTGTTAACAAACACCTGCATCTTTTGATGGTGACTTCCGTAGTTCTCCAAGTTTCCGCTCAATACAACAAACGGTGAAGACTTGTGTATTGCAAACTATGACTTCGGTGTTGGTTGACAGTTACTTTGAGTTCCAGATATTTGTTGATTCTAGCAATGCTTCACTTGCTTTACTGATCCGTGTCTTTATATCGGCATCAGAGCAACCTTGTTCATCAATGATACGTCCCAGATATCTAAGTGTTTACACATCTTATAAACCTTCTCCGTCAAGTTTGATTTGGTTTTGCTCATGTTGTGTTCTATCGGAAAATCTTGTTTTTCCTATTGTGTATGTTGAGACCCGTCTGTTGCTGCTAACTTGAGGTGGTGGTCGCACTTGCCCATCGTGATGACCAAACCGAGCTATATTGGCTGTCACATTCGTTCCTGTAGGTTCTACCATGACAGACAGGTCGACTGGATAACGATGAGACTAAAAACAGCTGCTCAAGGTCTGAGAGCGAAGTCGTACTGCTGACTGTAGAGGGGTGTGACGGCAGTAAGGGTTTTTCCTCGGACAACCAGGATCTGCAGCGACGCTGCCTTCTCACAAGGAAGAGAGGGGTTAGAAAAGGTCGACCCTAAAAATGTCACACCTCACCTTACCCCACGGGTTTTCGTCTCTAGCGGCAAGGCCGCTTGAGCGGAGCTAACATTTTAAAAACTCTTAATAAAAAGGTTGTGTGTAGTTGTCGTTTGGCCTCTGTAATCACGCTTTCAGGTCTCCCAGACCAATGCTAACTCGATTCCTCTTTCAGGTTCCTCAAGAACTATACCTCTACGGTGTGGGCAGCCGGGAAGTGATAACCGCCCTCATACCCATAAAAAGCACACGAGACCGAATTGGTCACGATCAAGTCCTTGCTATACCTCCTAATAACTCTATTATCCCAACGACCAACCCCTTCTTTGGTTCCTTTGTCACCTCGCGCCGCTGATGCAAGCGATTCGAAAACGCTAAACGTTATATCTGGTCTCCTGAAACCTGCTCTAAACTACATGTTGGAACTTTTAATACTCAAACGTTGTGTCAAATAGGGCAACAGGCTTCACTAACTCTGACTGTGGAATCTCGTGCCATCGATGTTTGTTGCCTCTCCGAAATGCGCATGCAGAATCCTAGTAAAATCAATAATTTGATTTTACCTAGTCAAAATAAAGAAGCAGCTCGTTTTAATCTTCGTATATCTGGTAGCCCTAATGCTGCTTCCCGGAGTCTCGCTGGTGTAGGTACAGCATTGAGTCCTAGGGCAGAACTATCTCTCCTAGACTGGATCCCAGTAGATAGTCACTTGTGCGCTGTCCGACTGGACGGGTTAGTAAGGACTCGGAAGGATATGGACAGTCGCCGTTGCCTCTTCGTCGTATCTGCCTACGCTCCCACTGACTGCAGCTAGAACAAGATAAAAAAAATCAGTTTTACAGAGAAGTTTCGAGCCTTCTTCAAAAACTTAAGCGCTCGGATGTAGTAATAATGGCTGGTGACTTTAATGTTTAAGGAGATAGACTAAGTGAAAAAGAAGGACAGCTCGTTGGATCTGATGGTGTCGTGGCTCAGACAACAGACAATGGCGATCGTCTGCTGCAACTGTGCTGAGATAACCGCCTATTTCTAGCAAGCACTACATTTAAGCGTAAGGAAAAGCATCTCATGACCTGGCGACCCGCAAAGCCCACCTAACTAGACCACAGTGTTATCATCCTCTGTTGGAAAGTCCCAGTTGAAGAATGTCGCTCATTCTGGGGCACTTGTTAAGATTCAGATCATGCACTAGTTAGGAAACGAGTACTCAGTGAATAAGGCGAGTTAAATGATGAAGTCTTGAAACTACATCAGTTTAGGTGATTGGGACAAGTGTTACGTAGGCCAAACAACCCACTGATTTGTCGAGTTTTGTTTTGTGGTTCAGGAGTAGTTTGGAAGAAATTTAGGGACAGCCAAACCAAAACATGGCACACATCCATGAGGTCACTGTCAAGTTGACTGAATAATCTCGGTAAGTGTAGGTCCTCGATATTGTGTAGGGGTTCGATAGAGGGCTGTCACTCGTTCTAAAGCGAATGTTTAGATTCAGATAAGGCTCTAGTGCGAGCGCGTATTTGTTTGCGGTTTATTGAACGAAGGAAAGACTCTGCAAGGCAAACTCCTAGGGTTATACTTAATGATAGAAAAGCACAACTAGGAAAACATTTAGGCTGCACATCCTGAGGCCGCTTGGAATGATATCCAAAAAGCTATGGAAACAGCAGTGATATGTGCTAGTAAGGTAAACCATAAGATTAAGGAAAAGCCGTAGATCTCAGTAGCGTCTACCGAACTGATAGATGCTCGGAAACTCATCCTGCCTGGCACTGAACATGGCAAAGAGCTGTGTCAACTTAAGCGCAAGCTGATAAAGAGCCCGCGGAATGATCGCGAATAGTGGTGGGCGGCGAAAGCAAGAGCGATGAAAAAGGTAGTGGCGATAGGTGACAGTAGACAATTGTTTCACCTTATCAAGGGAACTGGTACTAGCAATCCGTCTGTTGGCGAAACTATCTCAGAAAAGGATGGTCGTATCATTCATTCTCAACCCAGGAGATTGGATCGATGGTCAGTGCACTTTAGGGATCAGTTCAACTGGCCTCTTGTTACAGTCACAGAGGAATCAGTTTAAATAATATAGTGTCTAAATTGTTAGCCTCGATATTATTTAGACTCCTAACTAGAGCTTCGTGAAGAGCAGACTCGAGAAAACCATTCTGGTTTCAAACCTTGATGCGGATGTATAGACTACATATTCAGACTACCACAGGTCGTAGTACACAAACACACATTTAGGCACCCGACAATAGTTGTCTCCCTTGACTTTAATTCGGCATTTGACTCTGTTGATCGTGAGATTCTGTGGCAGATTCTGTCATTAAGAGGTGTACGAGAGAAGTACGTTAACCTTATACAAGATTTCTATTCGAACACCACTGGTCGAGTGAGAGCTTATGGTGAACTGTCATCAGAATTGATTACCTCAAGTGGTATCTGTCAGGGCTATCCACATTCTCCATTCTTGTTTAAATTCGTCATAGACTTACTTTTACAAGTGACATTCTGTTCGTCTACCAGGAAACTCGCTTGTTGACTTGGAGTATGCCAATGACATAGTTCTACTTTATGAAGACGCTGACAAAATGCACAGTCTTCTGACCACCCTGAGCAACAATGCAAGCATGTTCGGCATGCGGTTCTCACCCTCGAAATGCAAAATTTTGCTTCAGGATTGGGTTGCATCTTCACCGGAACTAGTGATGGGGAGTGGAGCAGTTGAGCGTGTCCTTCGCTTCACTTAAATTGGAAGTCTCACCAGTGCTGATGGTCTGGTGACTGACGAAATCTCAGCACGGACAGAGGAGGCCCGATTGGCTTTTGCCAAGTTGCGTGACTGATGGCGTAGGCGAGATATCCGTCTGCTGACCAAAGGACGAGTGTACTGCGCATCGGTTTGCTCTGTCCTACTATATGGCTGTGAAACATGTCCAGTAAGAGTATAAGATATTCGTGTGTTACTGGTTTTCTATCATAGGTATCTTCGAAGCATTACTTGTTCATTTTGTCACTATCGAGTAAGCAATGCTGTTGTTAGGAAACGGGTACTAGGTATGTTTGGTGCTGGAAATTCGTACCTCAAGTGAGTGATTGTGGTGGTGTTTCTTTCTTTGAGCTTTATGTTTTGGTTGTGGAGCTTTCATTGTTATTCTGAAAAACATCATCAACACAAACTTCAGGGTCAGTCAAAGCAAAACACGGCACAAATGCATGAAGTCACTGACAACTAGATTGAGTCATGTTGGTAAGTGTAGACTACCTGGTTGGGGTCCGCGAGACTATAGTAACGGATGGTCGGAGACCTTGAATGACATGGCTCAAAACCGTTCGAAGTGGCGCAGATGCATCCATCCTTTTGCTGCACTCAAACCCTAATCCTGGATTCTACATCACCTTTATCTTTCTCTTTTTAAGTTTATGCCACGGTATTATATTTCTTGAATAATATCTTCGAACCCCAATCTCTCTGATTACTGCTAATACTTCTACTACCTCTACTACTATTGGAGTTGAATTGACAATTGCGTCTCTGTGCTAGTTTAGTATGGCAACGTACAAAGTTTTACGTTGTAACTGACTGACTGAATGACTTTTTCGAGACTTATACTGCAGCGGCTGCTGCTACACTGGTCATCTTCTTCGATTGTTGTTTCTTGTGTGATTGAAGTACTACATAATGTGTGAAGTCCAGACTGTTTAGCTGCATCCAAGCTGTCCACTCTGTCCGTTTCTTACTCCGAGATGCTGAGGTTTCCATAATGTAGTCGACCACCAGTAGAACGAGAAATGGTGAAAGTAAACAACGCTGCCCAATCCTGACCTTTACTTAGATTATCTCTATGAGCTGCCTTTTGTGCACAGTTCTGCAGTTTATTCCATCAAAAGGATTCTATATGGTGTTGACTGTTTTCTCAGTTGCTCCATAGTGTCGAGGAAGCCTCTACACTATCAAATGTTTCCTCTTAGTCAAAAAAAGTTGATGTGTAGTGGTGGTTTCGATCTAATGGATCGATCCACAATGACCTGTAGTGTCGCGTGCGGTTTAATCGGCACACGGTCAATCTTTACAGAATCCAGTCGGCCGACCTCGAAATTGGGAGTCTACTAAATCTTTCACTCAGTTTATCAACTCTCTGTCGAAGACTTCCTGGTACTGTTAGTAGAGTGATGCTTCTATAGTTCTGAAAATTGCTAAGATCGCTTTTCTTTGGTATCTTGATGAGGTGTTCTTTTTTTCAGTCTGCTGATACACATTCTTCTTCGCGAATATGGCCTAGGAGAGCGTGGAGCACTTTTGGAGTTACTTCTGTCTGATTTCAGAGCTTCAGCTTATATGTTGTTTAGTCCTGCAATTTTGCTGCACCTAGTTTATCTGATGGCCATTCTGATCTCTTCAATCTTTGGTAGGTCAACATCAATTAGGAGGTCTGTGGTCGCAGCTTCGATACTGAGTGGATTCAGAGGGGCTGGTCTATTGAAGGGTTCTCCAAAGTGATCTACCCACCTTTGTCACTGTTTTCCAATGTCGGTGACTACTTTTCCTTCCTTGTTTTTTTCTCGTCGTTTCGGTTCACGATATTTTCCAGCAAGCTTCTTCTTTGTATCGTATATTTATCTCATGTCTCATTCTCTTGCAGCTTTTTCTGCTGTTGTTGCAATGACTTCCACATATTCACACATGTCAACTCTGATACTCCCCTTCACTTGCTTGTTTGCTTCTGTGTATTTGGAGTGTGTCTTCGCTTTCTCTAATCTTGTTCGGCTGCAATCGACTGCTGCCTTTCCTTTCTTTTCTTGAATCATATCCAGAGTATAAACAGAGATGCATTCCTTGTGATGGTGCTTATTGTGACCCATAACCTCATGACATGCTGAAGTTATTGCTTCTATGATCCCTTTTCAGTTGTTCTCCATGATAGTAGATCGTGAAAGGCCTGGAACTCACTACTGAGAGCTATATTAAATTCGTTGGGTTTGTCAGTATTCCGAAGAAAGTCCGCGTTGTCCAATGTTTCTTTAGTTTCAGTTTGTCTTGACCACTACAATGTGGTGATCTCAAGCTATGTCAGTTTCTCTTTTGGTTCTTACGTCCTCCATAGTCTTAAACTTTTTATTGATGCAGATGTAGTAGATTGGGTTCTGTGTAGTATGATCCACTGTGACCTATATGACTTTTTGTATGCTTTCGTGTGGGAATCTGGTGCCGCTCAGAACCATTATATTCAAAGTACATAGGTTTGCGAATCTCTCACCGTTTTCGTTCCTTCCTCATAGTTCATGTTGCCCATAGTGTCTTCAAATGCAATGTTGTCCGTTCCAACTTTAGCGTTCAGATCTCCCATCAGAATGGGCAAGTCGCTTGTTGGGCGATTCTTAGTGATTAACTGCAGCCTCTCATAGAATTGATTTCTATCGTCCTCATTGTTATCGTTAGTAGACGTATAATACTTGATGGCATTCATTGTAATGCTCTCCTTCCTTTTCTTGAGAGATACAAATATATGGAAGCTCTAGCTATCTGAGTTTAAAAGGCGAAATCTCACTAGTTGGATTATCATAAGATCGAAGTCACTGATTGTGTCATTGTATAAATTTTAGTAGTCAGAAATATACAATGTTATGGATTTGGATCCATTTGAATTTTAGACAATTTATCATAATTAGTTTATACCTTGCCAGTTCGACTCTTATAAATTTAACTTAGTCAGATTTACTATAGTTGTTATTTGAATAAATTGCGTTAAAAACAAAAATTTCTGAGTTTTGATTCTAAGTTATATGACTACATTCCATTCATTTATATTGTTCATCGTGCCGTGGATAAATATCTCTTTTCATTCCGCACATTTTCATTTTCGATGGGTTTTTTTTAAATGATGCATTGTTACAGATGAGCGACATTCCAACGTCATAAATAACCAAAAGTCTGAAGAATCAATGTCGAAAGTTAATAGCAATGAATCAGATATTACACCTAAACGCTGTTCTCCCCATTCTGTCGATAAACGCGCACTTTGTCTTGCCAGATTTCAAAGACACTTGACAGATTATCTTTTTACCAGTGGTCAACCTTTGTCAGCTTTGAAATTCGCTCAGGAGAAGGCTGAACTTGGTGATCTATGTATGATGGAAGTTTTTGATGAAGCTGTGTCTATTGAAAAGGCGCTTTTAGAAGGAGATACAGGTCCAGCATTTGCCTGGTTGCAAGAAGCTAACTTCAAGTTGAAGAAGAATGATGTAAATAACCTAATACTTTTTACCTATTCGTAAACATGTTGTTCTACCAAATTATTTTTCGTAAATCAATAGTGTAGGTGTTTTCCAGTTATCAGTCATACATTTAAGATTTGTGTAGACATTAATGGTTAGATTAGCAATCAAGTTAATTCGGAACCGCCTTGGAGAATGTCATCACAAATATGTAGGTATTGAAGACAAGGAAATCAGATAAAATTGCATATTTATTTTATCGTAGTTGGGTTCCTCCAACTCACACAGTATTCACTCGTGGAATAGAATCATGATTAGTTAATTTTGAAAGATATCAACATAAAATCACTGGTGCTTGTGATTTATTTTCCCACAAACCCTTGTCGCAGTTTTTTAGTTGAACATCGTGTACATGTGATAATTGCCAAAGGACTTGAAAATTTTCGGCAACTTATCACGGTTCAAATGAATATTGTCAAAAAGATTTCGGCTTTTATATTTTTAGGTAAATAATTACTCTCTTTACGGTTCGCATAAATCTAAAAAAAATGTTTTGTGTTTAAATAACTTTTTATTTAGTCTTATTATGAGTTTGATCTTCGTGTATTCGAATTCTATCTACTTGTCAAGCAAGGGAAACGAATTGAAGCTATTCAGTGAGTTGTTGGTTTAAATTGTTCTTTCTTGTTGACTTCAGATAAAGACTATTCACCACCACTTTTTATCTATTAAACGATTAAATTTATAACTCATTTTATGTGAACTCTATAGTTTAATTAATAGCTTTTCATGTATATTCTCAAGCGCTTCTCACTCAACAATTCTTTGTCAAATAATTGTAATATGACTAAGCCTACGTTACAAGTTTATGTCAGTTAAACAGCTTCTAGAAACTAAAGAATAAATTACGACTTCCTCATTATCTGCGATTAGGAACTATCTACTCACTGGCACTAGTTTGACGAAACTCAATAAGTTTATGGACTGATGGGTACTGGAAAGTTGACATTACCCGACCTGTAATATATATAAATTCTTTTTAAAGGTTATCAAATTAATTTAGAATATTATAAACGCGATAAGAGAATAGCTTGATTTAGAGGGAACAACAAGTTTTCATACTACTTCTGAAATTAAGAACAGATTACATGACAACATTCTTGTTGAGAAGGGACAGTTTTCGAATACTTTTTAGCTGCTTAGATTTTTTATAACCTAAGTCTTAAGTTCAAGAATTTCCTTATATGTGCGGATTTAAAATGCTGTCTACGACCAATCTTATGATCTGCTTTTATTTTATGGTCACATAGTTAGAGATTTGCAAATCTGTATGCCTTCAACAGAACGATTATAGGTGGCATCATATTACCTCACAAGCGATTACACAAAAGTGCATGTGTTTCATCTGCTAACACTACAGAGAACCGAATCCACCATATCTGCATCAATCAGAAGGACAAGGGAAGATGTGAAGATAAAAAGAGTAGCTGATGTAGCTTCAGATCACTACCTGTTGGTGGTCAAGGTGAAACTAAAGCTAAACGAGCACTGACAGTTGATGGGAACAGCATTACAAGAAATTTGTGCTGCTTTTCTTCAGGATACTGACAAACTCAGCGAACTCAAGATGGTTCCCAGCAGTAAGTTCCAAGTCCTACACGATCTACCTAAAGCAAAGGAAATTGCTATGGAAAACAATTAAAAACGAATGAAAGAGACAATAATGTCAACATACGACGACGTGGTGGGTCGCAAGAGGCAGTGAACGAAAAAGCTTTGTAAGATGTAAGAACGTTTAGATATCTGGGACGTATCATTGATGAACAAGGTTGCTCTGATGCCGATGTAAAGACACGGATCTGTAAAGCAAGTGAAGCATTGCTAGAATCAACAAATATCTGGAACTCAAAGTAACTGTCAACCAACACCAAAGTCATAGTTTGCAATACACAAGTCTTCACCGTTTGTTGTATTGAGCGGAAACTTGGAGAACTACGGAAGTCACCATCAAAAGATGCAGGTGTTTGTTAACAGTTTTCTACTCAAGATACTGAGGATCCGTTGACCAGACACCATCAGTAACAACTTACTGTAGGAGAGAACGAACCAACTGGGAATTAGAGGAAGCGCTGGAGTTGGATAGGACATACAATGAGGAAAACATTCAACTATGTTACATGGCAAGCCGTCACTTGCAATCCTTAAGGTCGAAGGAAAAGAGGAAGACTAAAGAAAACATTGCACCGAGTCAGAAACAAACATCGAAAGAATGAATAGTAGTTAGTAACAACTATGAGATCATAGGAACTCCGCCAGTAGAACCTTCGGGGCTACTGCCGGTCCCAAGCCCGGATAAAGGAGGAGGGTTGGACATGGGGTTGGCGACCCCATTCCGTCGAAATCTAACTTGCCAAAAAAACACTAACCAGAAAAAATAATTCAAACCATTTTAACTCTGCCCTGGGAGTTGGAAGAAGAATTATGACGTCACCAATAGGTTCCAGGCCTTTCAGGATCTACTCAATGAAGAGAACACAACATTGGAGAACAATTGGAAAGGGATTAAGGAGGCAATCACTCCAACATGTCACGAAGTTCTGGGTCACAAGAAGTACCATCACAAGGAATGGATCTCTGTTGATACTCTTGCGAAAATTGAAGAGAGGAGGAACAAGAAGGCAGCAATCAATGTCAGCCGAACAAGAGCGGAGAAAGTTACCGCACAAGCTGCATACATTGAAGCAAACAGGGAAGTGAAGAAGGGCATCAGAGCTGACAAACGAAAATATGTGGAAGATCTAGCAATGACGGCGGAAAAGGCTGCAAGAGAAGGAAACATGAGACAATTGTACGAAACTACAAGGAAGCTAGCCGGAAATTATCGTAAACTAGAACGACCAATGAAAAGCAAGGAAGGCAAAGTAATCAGTAACACTGAAGAACAGAGAAATAGGTGGGTAGGGCACTTTAAGGAACTCTTGAATCGACCAGCTCCACTGAACACACCCAACATCGAAGCAGCATCCATGGACCTCCCAATTAATATTGGATCATCTACAATTGAGGAGATCAGCATGGCCATCAGACTAATCAAGAGTGGCAAATCAGCAGGACCAGACAACATTCCAGCAGAGGCAATAAAAGCAGATGTAGAAGCAACTGCAAAAATATTTCACATTCTCTTCAAGAAGATTTGGGATGAGGAACAAGTACCATCAGATTGGAAAGAAGGATACCTGATCAAAATACCAAAGAAAGGCGATCTCAGCAAGTGTGAGAACTACAGAGGCATCACTCTTCTTTCAATACCAGACAAAGTCTTCAACAGGGTATTGTTAAACAGAATGAAGGACTTCGTAGACGCCCAACTTCGAGATCAACAGGCCGGATTTCGTAAGGATCGATCGTGTACTGACCAAAACGCAACATTACGGATCATTGTGGAACAATCAATTGAATGGAATTCACCACTCTACATTCGATGGCGTGGATAGGAAAACACTGTGGAGGTTTCTTCGACACTACGGTGTGCCTGAGAAAATAGTTAACATCATACGGATTTCTTATGATGGATTCAACTGCAAAATTGTGCGCGGAGGACAGCTAACAGACTCTTTCGAGGTGAAGACCGGTGTCAGGCAAGGTTGCTTACTCTCACCCTTTCTCTTTCTCCTGGTCATCGACTGGATTATGAAGATGTCGACATCTGGAGGGAAGCACAGTATCAACTGGACAGTTAGGACGCAGCTGGACGATCTGGACTTCGCAGATGACCTGGCTCTTCTATCGCACGCGCAACAACAAATGCAAGAGAAGACGACCAGTGTAGCAGCAGCCTCTGCAGCAGTAGGTCTCAACATACATAAAGCAAAGAGCTGAATTCTCCGACGCAACACAACATGCACCAACCAAATCACTCTAGATAGAGATGCCTTGGAGGACGTTAACACCTTTACATATCTAGACAGCATCATCGACGAGAAAGGTGGATCCGATGCAGATGTGAGGGCACGGATTGGCAAAGCAAGGGCTGCATTTCTACAGTTGAAAAATATCTGGAACTCCAAACAACCTTCAACCAAAACCAAAATCAGGATTTTCAATACAAATGTCAAGACAGTTTTACTGTATGGAGCGGAAACTTGGAGAACCACGAAAGGCATCATCCAGAAGATACAAGTGTTTATTAACAGCTGTCTGCGCAAAATACTTCGTATTCGTTGGCCAGACACCATCAGCAACAACGAACTGTGGGAGAGAACAAACCAGATTCCAGTGGAGGAGGAAATCAGGAAGAAGCGGTGGAAGTGGATAGGACACACACTACGAAAAACACCTAACTGCGTCACGAGACAAGCCCTCACATGGAACCCTCAAGGCAAAAGGAAAAGAGGAAGGCCAAGGAACACATTACGCCGAGAAATAGAGAAAGATATGAGAGGAATGAACAAACATTGGACAGAACTAGAAAGGGAAGCCCAGGACAGAGTTGGTTGGAGAAAACTGGTGGGCGGCCTATGCTCCATTGGGGGTAACAGGCGTAAGTAAGTAAGTAAGTAATGAGATCATAGGACAGAGTGGTTTGGAGAATGCTTGTCGGCAGCCTATGTGTCACGAGGGTTAATAGGCGTATTTCAGTAAGTAATGTGGTAACATAGTGATGAAATGTCTTTGTCAAAGTTCGAATAATATCGTTGATAACTTATTTACTTGTTAATAATGTGAATGGGCTAAATATAACAAGAATTATTTTACTTGTAAAGATGTACTTTCTTTTTAAAGATGTTGACAAATTGGTGAAGTTATGACTTTTTCCTGTTTTGATTATTGTAGACAAATGGAGCACTTTGTGAGTACCAAGTCATTTACCATACTGTGCTCTAAAGAAATAAGTTTAAAGAAATATAAATAAAAACAACTCTCAGCATTTTTTTAAGCATAGTCACACATTGTCTACATTTTCTTGAGGACTGATGAAGTTCACTGTTAGGTGTTTAGTTACGATGCTAAGTACATACACTGATCGGTACATTTGTTAACTGCGACAAATCAGTATACATCTAGTATGTGCTGGAAAAAGAGAAGCATCCTTCCGTATAGTTTGACAAGTACATCAGGATTTTTAGATTTTTATATCGCGTGAATCCTCAAGTTTGTTACCACCAATATGAATTTTCCTTGAATACGTATGCCTGAACAGTTAAGTAAAAAAATTTTATGTCTAATTTTTTTCTGTTTATCATGATCTTTGAAGTTGGAAAAAAATATTCAGCGTAACACATTGTAATAAGGTTTTGATAATTCTTGCCACCAGTACACTTATTTCTTATTAAAACAACAATTGTAAACATTTCATTAACTAATAGATGTGATACTGTTTTTAGACATGCTAGAAAATACATGAATTCAGCGAAACAAGCTGATGATTATCGCGCTACAAAACTTGGTCAGGCAATGATTTTATTGGCAATGCGTACTCCCGAAGAACTTCAGAATAAGGCAGTAGGTTTAAATTTTCCCCTTAATTTCAACAAACTCTAGTTTTTTGTTTGTCGTAAGCTATATAGAACTTTCCATAACTAATCGTCATATTTCGCTTTCTATGTAACGCTTAAATGTTGACTGCATTATCAGTTAAGATAAAATTGACTTTAAATTGGTTGTTACGGATTTTAAATATCTTTGTATTCATAAATATGTAGTAAAAACAAGAAAAAAGTATTTCTGGTTTAGATCTAACTTTAGCTACACTATCATTCATGTATAAAAGCGTATTTATAGTATGCAAGTAGTAGTTATACTCTGTTCATGAAGAGGAAAAGGCTCCACATACACAAGGAGTTGCACTGATGCTGTCCCAAACAAGTAGTAGAATCTAAAATTGGTCTTATAATTGATAACTTTGACCATATGCATTCTCATTAAAGCGAATAAAATATCTAAAGCAATTAATCCCTTTGATAAAATTGGATAGTGTAATGAGAAGACGAATATTATCACAACTATGTGCTATATTAGCACAATCTGATCACACATGTACTTCGTAAAGGCATTTGTATATGAAAAACAGTAAAAAAGAAAAATGCCTGAATTGACGATTAATGTGCAGTTTGAATATCTCTATGGTTAACTGAATACGCTAGTCCGTAGATTTATAGATGATCGAAATTGATGTAAACGTAAACTTATGAATATGGAGTCCCAATTTCGCACCTCTGAACCAAAGCGAAAAGCATAATAAATTCTCAACATTTCTTATTATTGAAAGAACTACAACCAAACTTTGAAATTATCTTGTTAAAGCCTGATAAAGAATCAGGTGTAGTTATTATGAACAATTGTGATCATAAACGTATGATGTTTCTCCTCCTTAGTGATAAAAGTAAATTTATACCTGATGTCAAATTTGAAGGTATTAGTAAACCAGAGGGAAGAATAAATTCAAACTTGCTGAAACTGCTGCACACAAATATTATTGATAAAAAGGAATTTAACTCTCTAAAATCTGTGTGCTATAAATGTCCTCAATTATATGGACTACCTAAAATTCATAAATCAAACATTCCTTTAAGTTCAATTTTCTCAGTATGTTGATCAGTTACACATAACCTGGCTGAATGGTTGACGAAATTGTTGAATCCTATTTGAAGGCACTTATGTAAGTGTATTCTCTGAAGGATTCTTTGAGCTGGTTGAGTGTTTAGGTGATGTTACTATCAAGGAAAAGACAATGTGTTCTTTTGATGCGAATTCTTTGTTCATATATATACCTTTCAAAAAGACTTTTGATATTTTATAGGACTACATATCTTTGAACAACCTTACACCACCTGTTCCTTTAACGATTTCCAGAGATTTTTTACTATTATGCACTGACAAAGTTCAATTCGTTTTTGAAGGTGAATACCTCCACCATACCGATGTGGCTGCCATGGCTAGTGCGTTGGAACCATTGTTAGCTGATGTGCTCATGACATTGTTGAAAATTCAGCTGAAGACCTCATTGAGAAAATGTCCCTTAATAAGAGATAATATGGCTGAGATAAAAAGGAGGGAATGAGTTGCCTTTTGATTAAACGTAACACTCCAAAACCACATCAGTCTTTTGTGTGAAGAGAAAAACAATCAATTTTAGTTAGCCTATAACATCTTTTGTCTTAATTGTATACTATGATGTAAATTTTTGGATGTATCTGGTGGTGTGTAGTCATTCACTGATTGCAAACGTAGAACATGGTACTTCGTACTAGCAGAGAGAGGAATCACCAGGATGAAATGGCGTTATGTAGAAGTAGTATTCATTACAATGAGAATAAAAACATAAGAATGGCAGTACAAAAGGAACAAGTGAAATCAACGAACTAAAAATTAAGAATTAAATATAATATTTAGAAGAGGATGTTTATTCTTTGATTCGCTATGATATAAATAAATGCGATATCTGCTGTTTGATATTTTTCTCGGGATTATCTGGCATTATCACAATTATCTCTAATAGTTAATTTTTAGTACATTTTTTTGCCTTTTTTAGGATCAAAATAAGCTAACAGAGAAGTGGATAGTGAAAAGAACTCATGAAGTGCTCATGGAATTTTATGCCTACAATATTTATACCCCGTTTCAGTTGGCTGTTAATGCTGGGATTACAGCAATCAAAACTCAGTATCCTTTTTTACTCCAAATAAACTATCAACTATATAAGTATATATTTATCTATCACTTATGTAGTATTTTGCGATGAAATCTAATACAAAAGGTAGAGCTTCAGCAGATAGTACCAAAACAAAGTTCCTATCCAGCGAATTGAAGGGGACCATGACATCAAGAAACAACGATTGTTGACATGCAATAAATATGGTGATACTCTAACATTTGAGGGAGTGTTTAAATAAGTACATCCACGACTAGGACTTAAACCAAGTTATTGCCCGTAAGTCAGTCATCCACAGGTTTCGAACAGTCTGTGAAATGTGACGAAAGCCAATAGTTTGGATGCTATCGCAGGTAGGTATCGAAACGTTCTAAATGCCTTACGTTTGCAAACAAGTCAGTCAGTTCCCCGACCAGAAGTTCACCACTGTCCTTCAGACTATCTGAAGGTAATATGTGTGAACCTGACTTGTGGATCTTCAGGATTTCTGGTTCTCTATGAACTCATTGACCTGGAAAGACAGGATAGTCTAGTCAGTGTTGCTAGATTAGCAGATTAGCTGAACTGTTCCTCAAAGACGTCTGATGTTGCTAGTTGGCGTCCTGTTGTCTTCACAGATGGTTTCACCCACATCAGGCTTTTAGCTATTAGTGGTTTGGATGAGATGTGATAGCTTATAGCAGTTACCAAGATGAAGCCGCAGTTCGAGAAGCATTAGAAAACAGCTTTCGCATCAGAAGGCCTCAACATATACTAAGGAAAAAGATCCTTAAGGACAACACAGCGAGCGTCAAACGAATAGCACTTGATGGAAAAACTTTAGGACATGTAAAAACGCTTAGATATATGGGACGTATCATTGATAAACAAGGTGGCTCAGATACCGATGCAAAGACGCAGATTAGATTAGCGAGGGCAGCATTGCTACACTCAACGAATATCTGGAACTCAAAGTAACTGTCAACCAACAATAAAGTCATACACACAAGTCTGAACCATTTTATTGTACTGAGCTGAAACTTGGAGAACTAAGGAAGTCACCATCAAAAGATGCAGGTGTTTGTTAACAGTTTTCTACTCATCAGTAACAACTTACTGTGGGAAAGAACAAACCAACTGGAAGCTGAGGAGGGAATTAGAGAAGGCACTGGAGTTGGATAGGACATACAATGAGGAAAACATTCAACTATGTCACATGGCAGGCCGTCACTTGAAATTCTTAAGGTCGGAGAAAAAAGGAAGACCAAAGAGCACATTACATTGAGAAATAGAGTATGTATCGCGAGAGGTAAGAGGCGTTAGTAATTAATCAAACTGAGTGGCATTACTACTACTCTGGAGCTTAGTAGAACATTCGAACTAACCTAACCAAACTGAGATTTCGCAAAATGAATACTATTTGACATAGCTCAACTTTCTGTGCACCATGTTTTCTATATCCTTCCTTACATTGACGCCTCCAGTTATTGTTACAATCCGAATACTCAGCATCGAGACTGTGCTGTTTGTCATCCGTTAATCAACTTATTGGCTGTAAATTTACCATTTGCTCGTCATGATCATTCTATATTGACGTGTTACAAAACTGGTCTTCCTATGAATGACGAAAATCCTCCAATGTCATTACCAAATGGTTATGTTTACAGCCAAAAAGTATGTTAAAATTTTTGTCGTTTATAAGTTTTATTAATATAATTTTTAGTTTAGGTTTTCGTATGGATTTTGGGTTGTTAACGTTTTACCGATCTGAATAGGTTTGTTTTTTTAAGTGGAACTTCAGTAGTACTTGTCATAACAAAAATAAACACTGGTTGTGAGAAGTAGAGTACTTACACTTCAGATATGTTTCATACGGGATTATTATGTATGAAGTGATTTGAAGTAAGGAGACAATAGTAAAATTAAGTCAGTCAGTTACAACGTAAATCGTTAGACTAGATAATGCTTAGACTTCTAACTAGAGCAGACTTGAGAAAACCAGGCTGGTTTCAAACCTCGGTGTGGTTGTATAGACTACATATTCAGACCACGATAGGTCGTAGTACACAAACACACATTTAGGCACCCGACAATAGTTGTCTCCCTTGACTTTAATTCGGCATTTGACTCTGTTGATCATGAGATTCTGTGGCAGATTCTGTCATTAAGAGGTATACGAGAGAAGTACATTAACCTTATACAGGCTCTTTATTCGAACACCATTGATCGAGTGAGAGCTTATGGTGAACTGTCATCAGAATTGATTACCTCAAGTGGTATCTGTCAGGGCTATCCACATTTTCCATTCTTGTTTAAATTTGTCATAGACTTGCTTTTACAAGTGACATTCTCTTCGTCTACCAGGAAACTCGCTTGTTGACTTGGAGTATGCCAATGACATAGTTCTACTTTATGAAGACGCTGACAAAATGCACAGTCTTCTGACCACCCTGAGCAACAATGCAAGCATGTTCGGGATGCGGTTCTCACCCTCGAAATGCAAAATTTTGCTTCAGGACTAGGTTGCATCGGCACCTGAATTTGTGATAAGGTTGAGGATATTTGTAGGTTACTGGTTTCCAGTCAAAGGTGTCTTCGAAGCATTGCTCGTTTATCTTGGGACTATCGAGTACTTAATGCTGTTGTTAGGAAACGAGCACTAGGTAAGGATGGTAAATCAGGTTAGGTGGTTGGGACATGTGATACGAATGCTCAACTACCTACTGCTATTTTGAGCTATGCTTTGTGGTGCAGGCGTAGGTTGAAAGTAATCTAGGAGCAGCCAAACGAAAGCATGGACCAAATCCATGAGGTCACTGTCAAGTGGACTGAGTCATGTTGGTAAGTGTAGACTACCTGGTTGAGGTCCGCGAGATGTTTGTAACCGATTGTTAGAGACCTTGAACGACATGGCTCAAAATCGTTTGCAATGGCGGTGCATCCGTTCTTTTCTCTCTCTCATATCCTGATCTTTTGAATTCCTCATGTTCGTTTTTTCTTTTTTTTAACCCGTTCCTCTGGAGTTTACATCTCGAATGATACATTTATTGACTAATTTTTTTGATTACTGCTGGTGATTGTACTTCTACTGCTATGGGATTTGTATTGACAATTGCGTTTGTGTTAATGTGGCATGGCAACCTGAACGGATGTACGTACATAGAAAGTTCTACGGTGTAACTGACTGATTGACACTCCTATGCAGTCGACACTACGTACCCGACCGAATGCAAGCATTGAAACTAGCTACTCTTATCCGACTATATAAGAATGGGCAGACATCATGATCGATCAAGCGCCTGTGAGAACTTGACCCCAACCGCCCAACTGTAGACTCTTGTTAAGAGCGCCTTCGACCGCAATTGACATACTACACCGGGGCATAGAGTGTTTGGGTAAACACATACGGTCATCATCACATAGTCCAGTATCTGTACAGCTGCTCTCCTGAAAAAATCCCAAGGCCGCCGCAAGAAGGCTGAAGCTACTCCACATTTAGAGTATTTGTTGCTGTCAAGACTGTGGGCTCAACAGTGTTGCTCATCCGTCAATTCCTCCGAGTTTCAGTTTCACTGATCTGGATCAAGAGCAGAGGGGTATTTCACCCCTATACCTTTCAGAACTTGCCCTCGAGTTACTGCTTCATATAAGTGTCATAAGAGATCAATGAACCGATAATCGTCTGTTCGCAAAGCCAGGCTACTGCATGTATGTTTAGACCTTATTTCAGTAGGCCAGTGTCGGAAGCTCCAAAATTAAGCACCTTGTGAACGTCTATAAAGGACATAAAACTAATTTCAATGCATAACTAATTGTAATACGCATCATTTGGACGCTATATTTTTTTAAGTGATGAATAAAACTTGAAGGATTGGGAAGACGTTTTATTCGTATCAATGCATCCAAATATAAAACTCAACTGTTACTATATAAAGCCTTGAAAAAATTGAGAGAACAACTGGATCCCCAAGATGACTTTATTTTATTGCAGACTATTTATCAGCTACAAATGGAATAAAATGATCAGTGAAAAAGATTTGACACGATTTCTTTGATAACGTCGAGATGGTGCTGATAAAAGAATGGAAGTTCCGAAAACAGAACTAAGCGCTTCAATGACGAGTAGTGAGTATTTAAAAGTTGAAAATCTAGTTACATAGGTATTTTATAACACTGCAGTTGTCCCACAACAGCCCATATTAATTGCACTACAAATCAAAGAAGGCTGAAAAACAGTTAAATATTTTCGATGTATTACTAAAATCTGTTAATTATTGGCTTATTTTTTTTCAGGGTATCGCTGAGCTAACACGCTCAGATGGAACAATAACTTGCCCACGTTCAGGGAAAACATTCGAAGCCTCAGAAGTTCAGAGAGTCTACATAGTCTGACATTTTTATCCTTCATTGTATTGTCATTGATTTTTTTTTATATTCATTCATCCTCATTCCTTGCTATCAGAATATTTTGTAGACTGGTCATATTTTTAGTTCATAACTAATTATCCAAGGTTATGTACAAAGTGTGTTCATGTACATGGTTAAATAATTATGACTAATAAATTGGTTACTACAAGTTGTATACATTATATTAACTTCATTACTATTAACTGTAATTATTGTTATACAACTTGACATTAAAAAAAACGGACTGTGCTACTCTTTAATATTTGAATGAAATTTAATGGTAAAGTTCACTGGAAAGTTACATCGAACGAAATAAGGTATCACAGTAATAAATTGTCTACAACGACTATGCATATGCTTGAATAAAAAGAAGGATAGATAAGTTATGAAGTCAAAGACAATCGCTATGCTTACAGTTGATTGTAGGAAAAGTGAACTATATGTAACAGACTAAAAATTACTATCGAGTTCATCCCATAATGATATAAAACACAAAAAAAGTTGTGATTTTAATATTTAATTGTTTAAAATTTGTACAAAAAAATATACATTCAAAAAGTCATCAAATGAAGTGTTAGTCCTCTTCTTCATTTGTGTCTAAATCAATTTTACCATTGGAATCTGTTATTGGCATTGATAAAAATTGACTGTCGTTTAGAACCGGATAATTAGAGTTTGCTTCATCACTATTTTCAATGCCAAGAATTTCTCCAGTTTGTGCCATACTTGCTAGCAGATCACTAGACATATATTTTTCGAGAATTTCACGTTTGCGCTGGGCTACCAATGCTGCTTCAATCTGGAAACAGATACATAATAATAAGAATATTTAGAGAAAATGAACAAACGTGATTTCAAAAATATGTTATCTGGTCTGAAATCAATGGTAGACAAAATACCTAGTGGTAAAAAACAACAACAGATATGTATTGCTGGATTGTATACATTTTAACTTTGGCTGAAATTATTGAATGCTTTGCAGTGAGACTTTGTTGACAACATAGAGTCGGGTTTAGACCATATTACTTGCACGATGTAGTAAACACTGAATGTTCGCAAAACACATTATAAATGATTTATATTGCTAAATTGATGGAAATAACGAACTATTTTTAAAAATATTGAATGTTAACCTCACCTGCTCTTGGGAGTAGACTGGAACATGGGCAACGAATGCTCGCTTCACCGTAGTGCTTAATGAACTCATAGATTTGCTGGCCGACCTTCCTGTATGATCATCTGAATTTTCATCGTCATTTATTAACGCTACTAACTGCTCTGCATTAGAAAAGTCGATGGATCCAACTTCATTATTTTCATCGATTGCTTCATAAAGACGCATTAATTCTATATCAGCTGGCTGTGCAAAACAAAATCAAGGCATATGTTAAATTATCCGACAACAAATAAATATTAAGAGTTTTAACAAAATCGAATACCATTAATAGGATGGCGGAGTTTATATATAGGGTACTGTATATTTAAACGAAGTAGAACACCAATTACTTTAAACTAGTAATGATTTAGTTAAGAAACCTTTCCAACGAAAACAACTTCTCATCGAATATTGATATTTTCAAGTACACAAAAGGGAGTTTTTTCTGAACGTTTACTAAGGCCTTGGTTTTTTGTCTTCACATACGATGGCAACGATAACTGTGATAACCACAAGTTGTTCATCTCGAAAGGAGCTGTATTTTTTAGTGTATTGTTTCTTTCTCATGCATTTTCACCAATGCATTTTGCCACTAAAAACGGAAGTTAACTGAGAACAATAAAGTTCGGTCGAGATCCCGAAACAAAAGTCTACATGATCAATAAAAAACAACGATCGCGAAGAATTAAAAGGTTTGCTCAAATGGTTGTTTCATTCTAGATCGAATATATGGATATTCTGGAAGAACCTGGGAAAATGGGAACCGGAATTTTAGAAATGAAAAGACTATGTCACAGGTTATGTAATACTCAAATACAATTGTTTAGCCACCATATGAGTTGACAAATAAAACAAAATGAGAATCGGAAAATGACGCAACTTAAAGTAGGGAAGAATGGTATCAAATAAGCGTTAACATGATACTGTCCGGTTTCCCAAACCATAGTAAGTGGAACGGGATTCGGTCCTAGAGTTTGAAGGCAGAAAACCAAATGCCATAACCAATAAGCCACAGCTGCATGAGCGTAATTTGGTATGCCTGTAGCTAGTGACTTAAGATCAATGAGCAAATTGAACGAAATTAAGGTATACACGTTTACAGAAATATGTTTACGGCAGACATATAAAACCCGACCGTAGCTGCTAACTTGTCGTGATGGTCGGGCTTGCCTATCGTCATGACCTAACCGAGCTATATTGGCTGGCACATGTGTTTCTGTAGGTTCTACCATGCCAGGCAGGTCGATTGGAGAGCGATAAGACTAAAAGCAGCTACTCAAGGTCTGAGGGCGAAGTCGTACTGCTGACTGCAGAGGGGTGTGACAGCAGTAAGGTGTTTCCCTCGGACAACCAGCATCTGCAGCGATGCTGCCTTCTCACAAGGAAGGGTTTAGAAAAGGTCGACCTCTCAAATGTCACACCTTACCTCGCGGATTTTCGTCTCTAGCGGTAAGACCTTTTAAAAAGAACGGAGACTAACACTAAAAACTTCTCATAAAAAGGCTGTGCGGATCGGCCTCAAGCAGTTGTCCCCTTTGTGATCAACACTAATTTACCTTCCTTTTCAGGTTCTTCAAGAAACACCCTTTTACGGTTTGGACAGACAAGAGGTGATATCCGCCTTCATACCCGTAACAGCACACGGGAGACATAAAATGTTAATTACAGCTGGAAACGCAGCATATTAAGATACTGAGTCATTGTAATTATAAGTCCTATATTATAAATGAGTATCAAACATTCATGTTTTAAGTTCACTTACATTGTCACCAACGTCATATATATTTCTGGTATCTGCATTATCCTCATCCAATTCATCAAACTCATCTCCAAGTGGCTTGCACGAATATCCTGGTTGACAGTCGGATGCTTTACGATACTTCCATTCAGCAACTTTATATGCAATAGCTTGAAAAAATCAGGAATATTAGGCGAAATCTCGATACCTTCTTGCTCGTAAACAGCTTCCTGAGGTACTATTACACCATCATCTTCATCGCAGTTGCCATAATATGACACATCAACAAGCTTCATTAACTCGCCTCTAGATTTCCTAGCCACTGGTTGAGCTGAAAAACAATTATTGTAACAATTGACAAAGTCAGTCAGTTACAACGCAGAACTTCGTACGTATATACAATAGTCCAAGTTGCCATACCACATTAGCACAGAGACACAATTGTCGATTGATATTCCATAGTTGTAGAGGTAGTACACGTATGAGCAGTAATCAGAACGATCACAGTCTGAAGCTACTGTTCAAGAAGTATAACCCAATGAAATAGATTTGAAATAGGAAAGATGAAGGTCATGAGGAGTTTTGATAAGAATGTGGGAGAAGATAAGGAATGGATGCACCTGCGCCATTGCAAACGATTTCGAGCCATGTTGTTCAAGGTCTCTGAACATCGGTTATTATAGTCTCGCGGACCCCAATCAGGCAGTCTGCATCTACCGAAATGACTCAGTCCATTTGTCAGTGACTTTATGGATTAATGCCATCTTTTCGTTTGGCCGCCTCTAGCTTTCTTCCAACCTACTGCTGCACCACAAAACATAGCTCGACAAAGCAGTAGGTGGCTGGGCCTTCACAACACGTCCCAAACACTTTAAATGAAGTTTGACTACCTCATTTATTGATCTGCTATCCTTACCTAGTACTCGTTTCCGAACAACAGCATTGCTTACTCGATAGTCCAAGAAAAACAAGCAATGCTTCGGAGACACCTATGATAGAAAACCAATAACATATGAATGTCTTCTACTCTTACTGACGATATTTCCCAGCCATATAGTAGGACAGTGCGAACTGCTGCGCAGTACACTCGCCCTTTGTTCAGCAGACGGATATCTCGCCTACGCCATCAGTAACGCAACTTGGCAAAAGCCAATCAAGTCTTCTCTATCCGTGCTGAGATTTCGTCAGTCACCAGGCCATCAAAACTAGTGAGACTCTCAAGAAAAGTGAAGCGAATGACACGCTCAACTGCTCCACTCCCTATCATTAGTTCAGGTGAAGATGCAAGTTAATCCTGAAGCAAAATTTTGCTTTTCGAGGGTGAGAACCGCATCCCAAACATGCTTGCATTGTTGCTTAGGGCGGTCAGAAGACTATGCATTTTTTCAGCCTCTTCGCCAAATAGAACTGTCATCGGCATAATCTAGATCGATAGGCGTGTCTCCCTGTTAAGTCTGATGAAGATAATGTTAACTCTGAAAACGTGTCTCCCGACCATAGCTGCTAACTTGACGTGGTGGTCGGGCTTGCCTATCGTCATGACCTAACCGAGCTATATTGGCTGAAACATATGTTTCTGAAGGTCCTACCATGCCAGGCAGGTCGATTGGAGAACGATAAGACTAAAAGCAGCTACTCAAGGTCTGAGGGCGAAGTCGAACTGTTGAATGCAGAGGGGTGTGGCAACAGTAAGGTGTTTCCCTCGGAAAACAAGCATCTGCAGCGATGCTGCCTTCTCTGTGATTGTCACACGAGAATTTTTGTCCTTTATCATATATTCGATCAGTGATTAAAACCAGTTAGATGGGATTACGCCCAGTTCCTAAATTCTACCTGCACCACTATATTTAAAAATCTCAGGGGTACGTTTGTCAGGCCCTAAAGCTCACCTCAGCTAAGATATCCTATAGCTTTTTCAACTTCGTAAAGACTCGGAGGACTCACGTCGATTGGCCACTTAGGATGATTGGAGATTAAGGGGAACCGAAGTGTGGCTGAAGGCCAGTTGAACTGATCCCTAGTGTTCTGCCCATCGATACAATCTCCTAGAATGAGAATGAATCATAAGCCCATCGTTTTCCGAGGCAGTTTCGATAACAGATGGATTTCTAATAACGTTTTTCTTGATGAGGCGGAACATTTGTCTGCTGTTACTTACCGCCATTGCCTTTCCCATCGCTTTTCCTTTCTCTACTCACTACTGTTTGCGATCATTGTGCAGGCTTTTTATCAGACTGCGCTTAAACTGACTTCGCTCTTCGTCATGTTCGGAGTCAGGTGGAATGATTTTCCGAGCATTTATCAGCTAGGTAAATAGAAAAAAAGACTTTAGTGGTTCGGCAACGACCTACAGAGTTACTTCAGTACTTGACAGTAAGGTGAGGTGGCAGCATGGCAGATAAAAGTCGATTTTCAAACAACTAATCACAGGCTTAGACTTTGTTTTTACCTAGTTCGGTTTTGAAAGGTGGGCCTAATATTCTTGATGTAGTTTGCTTTAAAGCCGAATGTGTAAACTCGTAACTGGAATACGAGTTATGCATAACGGCACAACTGTTGTAACAAAATAGGATTCAAATCAATAATATGAACAAAAGTCACAAAATTTGACTAAACTTGGTATACACTATATGTAGTCACTAGGCTTCCCAGTAAGCCTAATGTAGTAAGTTCAATTTAGCAAAAATGAATTAGGATCAAAATGGAAGATACAGTAAATACAGTCGGCCTTGGTGATCTATGCCTCTGAGTCTTAAAATAAAATTTAAAACATGGAAGGTAATCGACCGAAAGTTTACAAAGCTAACTAACAGAACTTTGTGTGAAACACCAAGTAATCATAGACTGGTTTTCGTTATGTTAGTTACAAAAGGTATAAGAATATACCCAAGCAGTAGTTTTAAAAACCCGGACAACATGTAATTCACAAAAGAGCCACATCAACTCACGATCCTCTTCAAACAATTCGCGCACTCCCGGTAGATCACGAGCCGCTCCATAATACCTGTACCCTCTATTTCCAGGAACTTCTTTCCCTTCTTTTTCAAGCATTTTTGGTGCTTCTGCCTATACTAATGAAATAAATAACACTTTACCTTGAAATCAGGACCCCCAAGGTTTTTTATATGGTCTTCCCAGTGCGATTTTTCCCGAATAAGCTTGTTTATGTCATCATTTAAATCCCTTAGTTTATATTCACCTAAGCTAGCTGGAAACAAAGTTAGGCGGAGAAAATGATTGGTACGATTTTGTATTTGGGCTATTTTCCGAGATATTTCATGAACAATTTGCCGCCTATAATACAGTGAGTCCTTCAATCCGGTGCACTCGGAAGCGATATATGGACGTTTCTTCGTCTCTTGAACACGATCCACATAAACTGCTCTCCATCGTGCGAGAGCTGTCCTGAAACAATCTGAATATATGTCACTGTAACTTACATAGCCTTTTCTGCACTACGAGCCTATAAAATATAAATTATTACTGACTTAACCTTACCATTCTAAACAAGATTGCTCCTGATTAACAGATATCTCTATATGCCCCCAGAAGTAACGCAATGTTCGAAAACGTTTGCCAGATTCGTAGGTCTGAGATTTGATTACCCAGATCATGTACAATATCCAATATTTTTTAATGAACTAGTATTAACCAATTGATTTCTTTGTGCTCAGTTATTGTCCCTTCGGTACGGTCTCAGGCATTTGATAATGCCAATCGATTTCACTAATTCTAGTCGGACGGTAGTGATAAATTAATTTGTTTTTCCCGTGATTTGATTGAGTACATCTGATTCAGGGCAATAGGGTTGCTGTATACCAGCAGCTATCTTGTGACCAGATCCGAGATCAGTCGGCTGTATCGCGGAGAAAAATGAAGGAAAAATTCTAATTCTAATACGGAGAAGAATCAAGAACTAACTAAATTGATTGTCAAATAAGTTAATTAATGGGTAGTGTAGATTGTGCGATGTGACAGAAGTATAACCAAGTGAGGGGAAACGGGAATAATAAACGAGACAGAATAAGCTAGTGGTCTAAGGAAGTGATAATCATAACAACTAGCAAGTGTTAAAACATTCATCAAGAACAGCTGGTTCACGATGGAGATGATAATTCGTATGTCCATATGCGTTTGTCATGTCTCTTCTAACAGCTATCCACTAAAAGGTTGTGGTCATTTGGACTGGAAAAGCTTTTAAGTTGTGGCAACTCCTAAAGGGAAAAAGTGTGCACGAACCTTGGCACTCGCTCTTTGATGCGCAAATTTAGGAGGATTACCCACAACAGCTTAGTAGTGATGCTTCAGAACGTGCATTATTTCCTTTCTTGTAAACCTTCATGAATGTCTTATACGCCTAACTGAGTCAGCCGATATTGTCGGCACTGCTTCTCTCTATCATTCTGGATGTCCAATATCATCTTGTCTAAATAGATAGATTTCTTTTTGCTTGCCTCTGACAATTCTTGTACTTCTCTGAATATAAACGGTAATAAGATTAAAACAACTGTCTCTCATGGTTGTGAGTGTGTAGGGGCAATAAAATAATTATATTTTCTTGATATCAGTTACAGTAATAACAGCCACAACCATCATAAGCCAACATAGTTTATTGTCTTGATAATTTTCAACTTAGTTCTATCCGTAAGAGACAAGCTATAAACTTAATGTTTGAATCATGTGTTGAATTTTCTATTCATAACATTTCTGATGTGCAAATAGTTAGATTATGTGTGGAATATGAGCTAAGTGGGAGTATCGGCTTATAAAACTGAGAAAAATAAACCCATTTATCAAAAAAGATTGATTTTATGAAATCAGTACGGCTTAAATACTAACCATTGTATGCAGTATGCTTTACGATGCTCTCACTTATACAGGATGTTTATTGCGTGTATGAATACCGGTGAAAGAAATATAACTCCCTATCTAGGTCTATGGTAATTATGTTGCATATTTTATATTCCTTTTAGAGTTTGAGCAAATACAGCAGTCGAGTTTTAGTTTGCAGGATATTCTTGTGAGATCCATTTCTGAAAGCTTTGTTTGTGGAAATCCCTCCATGTATACATTCGTAATTTGTCCTCACTGATTCCTTCAATTGTACATTTTTTCAGTCTGTTCGATTCCATTTTGGGTAATAATATTTGTATTTTATTATAGTTTCTATAACTTTTGCCTCCACTGAATTTCTGTTTTTCTTTCTTAACTGCATTATTTTGTTTAAGCTGATACTTAGTCATTGCAATTTCTTCAACTTTTGATTAGGTTGCGTGCTTTGACTGGATTGGTGCATTTTGATTGTGAATTGAGCGCCCTTCCAGAAAAAGAAACATTCTGTTTTACAAAGCTACCAAATATTATCTTTCGAACGAATCTAATCTTTCCACAGGGGATAGAAAGACATTTATTTGTTGCTGTTGATTTGAATAATTTAGCAATTGATGGTGCAATATTTGTTTCCGTAATGATGTAAATTCTTTAAATTCAAGCTCTTTCTGGTCCTCTCGTGTAATATATATTGGGGTCCAGTCTTTAATTGGTTACTTTTAACTGGGATTGTGCTGTTTTGTAAGATGCATTCAAGCAATTTAGTGTTCGAACGCCCTGTATTAGAAATGCCGACTTTTTCCGAATGTTCATTGGAAAAATGATGTTTTCTCACTAACGCTTCCGCTCCAAAGATCGTAAATTGCAGAGTGAATATTTCATTACCATGTTGCTAACTCAGAAAATCCAGAATATTGTTGTCGACTGTCGTAAACATGCTAGTATGAGGTCTATTGCACGTGATAATATTACTTCCTCAACCTTCCATGAAAGGCCTCTTCAAAGATGACAACCCACTAGCATACATGATCTCTCAAAATACTTTATTACTCGAGTATACTCCACTTCTGTTGACGGCTTGTCATATCAGGCTGATAGACTTCTGCAAATCTACAGGCTAAAGCAAAAACTTGTGCTATTCTCAGATATGTCTCTGACGTGTATACGAAAAATTGTTTAAATAAGGTAATCAGGCAATCAGTGAGGTGCTATCATGGCCTCACTCCAAAGATATGTCTAAACTCTCTTGAAGATGATGGTAAAGTGAACTGCATTGTTAAACCCTAAGAAAAAGCAACAAGATATATTACCCTAGCGCTTTATAGGAAGCAGTATGGTTTCAGATTTTAAATCTATGTTGGTTTGTGAAATTTTGAGGTTCTTTAGACAATCAAAGCCATCTAGCAAAAGTCATTTTTGGGGCTCGTTTCTAACTCGAGCTGAAGCTTTATTTGTGGCCGTATAATTTGTTATTTTATGACGAATGGTTTGTTTATTTAAAATGTCACTCAGCCAGCCTGTAGATATTACCTAGGTTTGATGCTTGATGAATCAAGTACGGAAAAGCTCCAAATTAATAACTCACGATTTTGATGACCAAAACGTGGACATTCCACGCTCGGTTGAGTTCTGGCTTTGCTCATTAGAGTACTAAATCCAAAACTATATGAAACAAACGATCAAAAAATATACAGTTTGTATCAAGGTGTTAATTATCATGACATCCTAACCGCAACTCTTATATTGAGGTTGTGCACAATGAGAAACCATGTTCAAACAAGATAAAATTTTCCGCCAGCGAATAAGGATAAATGAAACTATTAAATTCCACAGACGTTTAAAGCAAATTATAAGAGAAGAAGCGTGTGGACAATAGACCGACTTCCACTAAAAGTTTTTTGTAGTAAGTAAATGAGACGAAGTACGGTTTTCGACTATGAAATGACTTTATTAGGTGGTGCGACATCTAAACATGGTTTCACATTATTTGTCAACAAATGGTCAGCTCCTGGTCAAGTATAGACGTGTCCACACATCACTATGAAATGGTGACCATGATAACGTCACGTTAACCATGGTCATAAACGAAGTGCTCGGACGGAACGAAGACAGGCTCAAACTTCGCCACATAAGGAAAAATTACACGAGCATGAGGGAGCTTCTTCTAAACGCCCCATAGCCACACGAATGATGGAGGCTAACTGTAGACGGCCACTGGGTTATAATGAGAGATATCATTCAGAATGCAATCTTACAATAAAGCATCTGGGGCTATTCACAAACCCGGAAAGAGATGATCATGAGTTGAGCAAAACGCTGAAAGCCTGACACAGACGAGAAGGAGAGGCTGGGACAGCTGAGAAATGTCTCTATAGGATTCTGATCAAAGATCCTGCTGAACATTCAAAAACAGATGCAATATCAAAGTTTAGAGCGAGGCAAAACACTTTCAGATGAAGCTAGCAACCAAAATACAGAGGAACATAAAATGTCTCTTTAGGTTCGCGACGAAAATAAAACCTGCGAGCCAAGGTGTTTCTTCTTTCAAAAGTCCGAATGGCTAACACCTTGCCAACCTAGAGATGGCTGAGATCTTTAACGCCAACTCAACAGACCAGTTAAACCAAGTACCTACGACTTCAGAGTACTACTAAAACCTAGTGTCACCCAATGGTCCAGGGAATATCCGATTTATTCCTGGCTTAGTACTGAGAAAACCCAGATCCCTACAGTCAGGAAAGTCACCATGAAGTGACAATATTCGCTGTATAATCTTGAAACAGTTTATGGAAGCACTCGGTTCACTGATTCAGGCATTCACTGGAGTCAAACCAACTCCCAGCTGAATGGAAACAAGCTACTGTCTCTAATCTTCAGAAGGGGGGAATTGCAACGATCCAACCTGCCATAGACTAGTCGTATTATCACCAATATTATCAAAGATATTGAAAGTAGTGGTGAGTGATTAAAATAACGGATTACACTGAAAAAAACACACTCCATGAAGCCAAACATCGGTTTAGGACATGAAAGTAGTGCGCTTTCAATCTTATCGTTGCATGGGACGGTTGGAAAACCTGCTGAGATCGGAAACTACCTGTTCTTATGACACTACTTGACCACGCAAAATCTCTCGAAACAATACCCTACGTTCTCCTAATATCTTTACTGACCCACTTCAATATTGGGTTCGAAACCATCTGGAGAACAGGATGTTTCATACCAAGGTAAGTAAAGTGCGTGAAAGCTGGCGAATCTCAACTTCAGAAGTTTCACAGGAGACTGTGACAGATCCACTGCCCCTCTCAGTGCTCGTTAATGACTTGTTATATAAAGTTAGCTAGGAGGCTATAATCTGTTCAGATAATGTGAATATCTAGGTATCTATAAGAGGTTAATATGACTTGGCTGAGCTTCAAAATGACCTTAATACAGCAAAGAAATGTGCCGTAGACAACATAATAAAACTCAGTCGGTCAAACTGTCATATTATGAACATTTTTCCTAGAAACCTTTTGAACTCCATAGGGGACGCAACTAAATTTAACGCGACTCCTCACTTAATTCGTAGATAACTTGGTTTGATCACCCCAGAATTATCCTTAACACTTAAAACGTACGCACGATTGCACCTTGAAGTTCATAATGTCGTCGCACCCCTCTCCTGGATTAAGTGCAGAGACCAGTTACTGGGGAATCGGAGGTAATCTTATAATGGCGCAAAACATATAAAGTGCCTGGAAGCACACCAAAAGAATTGGGATTGAGCGAAAAAATCAATCACTTTATACTAGTTCGTGAATAAACATTGAGGATTGAACTGAAGTTTCACTACGAGTGGTAGTCAATACTAGTCATAGTAACCACTTGCGCCAGCCTCAAAAGTAGACAAATGAGTGGCGATAACGCAGAAGGTATACTGGTGAATTCTGGTGACCTTTTTTTTACAGTTTCTTCAGCCGTTTTGGTCATTTTTCAATTCAGCAGGGATTTATGCAAAACGTTTAACAACAGCGTTATTCGTCAGAAAAATGTGATGAGAAGTTATGGAAACGGTCGATCAGTTGGTTTCGCTGATGAGGTACGGCAAAGTCATTAATTCTATATAAATTACAACTGTAGGTCATTTTTAAGAAGGTTTAGTAACTTTGTGGATACTCTCAGTTTTTATTTGGTACACAAGATCATTATTTCGGGTAAATAAAGACGAATCTAGAACTATCAGTGAATCGTAGTGAAAGTCGTTGCTAAGGGAAACCTACATTCCAAACCTTCCATTTCATCTTTGAAACCTTAAACTAACGTAATTAGGTCGATTTCTCTCCAGAGATTATATATTTTTGACTCCAACTAATTTTTTATAATATCGACTTGCGCTTAGTGGCTTTCAACCATTATCTAACTTTTCCAGACATTTTTCGTCACCTACTTTTCCACGAAGCATCTTTCCCAAGAGGCCACATGACATTTACTAAGTTATCCGGTTTATTGACCATAAACTTGCGCCACGACATATCAAACTAATTTAATTAGACTTTTTTTTACGAAGTCTTTATGCAAGCAAGGAATTTTATGTGTAAACTTGTATGGTACTTGATATTACAAGAAACTTTCAAAACATCTAGTTATGTCGTTAGCTCGGTTCGGCCTTACTGTAGATTTTACAAAGTTTACAAGTACATTTAGCTCTTGTATCAGTGTTGTTCCTTTCTCAACAAATAAGCAAACAGAGTTTGAACGTGCTCTTTATTTTTCTCTAAATTAGAAAGTTATTTACCTTAATCACTGAGTCCTTAAATTTTAAAGGTAAACATGGTGGTATAAGGCAATCTTATGGTCACACAGTATTTGATGGCTGTATTTTATATTGATGACCTATAGTAGTATTATTCAGGTTAGTAACAATCAAAGTCTTCGTGCAATTGCAGAGTTGTTCTTCAAGTGCCAATACTCAGAGTACCACACTGAATAATCAAGTCATCTTATAGTTTAAATCTAGTCTAATGTGTTATTCTCCAAGCACAAATTGTATGGTAACATTTTTTGCAACCCATGAGGAAACAGACCAGAATCTAGCATTAGATAATACCGCTAAGGCAATTTTCAGTCAAACCTAAATTTCTCCTTTCTATACAAGGGTTTATCAACGTCAAGGCTAGTGAGTTTTCATAAAGCTTATACGGTAAACAATAAAATTCCATCTGAAGCTACCAATGAGTACTTTGATAATTCGGCTTCCAGTGTAAGACAAATTAGCCCCAAAGATAACTTGCACTTATCTCCTTATAGGAAAACTTCTTACATTTAGTTCAGTATTCTTAACACTGATTATCCAATTCAGTAACTGAGTACAGCCCATTCTATTTACATTTGAACTACGCATGTTATTTGAAGATATTACCAGAACACCTAGATAAAAACAAAGATTTCCATTTTTTGCCTCGTAGTTAAAAGCCAAGTTTTTAAGTCATGAATTCGTAACGTAAGACATAATATAACAGAACGGCCTGAGAATTTGGAAATAGAATCCTCTGTTACATAGTTTATCACGTAGTGATAACCATTCTGCATAGACCTGATATTATAGTTTGTTGTGTTTTGCTTACGCCTAATACCACTACGAACTTATGAGTTTGGGTGTTGTCCTAAATTATTTAATCAGCTCTAACCATGTGATCCGATCAGTTTCGGACAGAATACAAAAGTTACAAAAGATAATTCTATTTAGTGACTAAATATTGTAAGAGAACAACGATTTATATGAATAAAAGTATCACTACTCAGAACTATCACTTAGTTTCATAGAAATTTTATTTTTAGCTTGTTTGTTTAGAAGGTGACTGGAAACGCAATATAACATTTGGCTTCCTACATTTCGATTCCGCTGTGGCGGCTCATAGGTGGCTTATCAGCGATCCAACATTTCGTCAGCATGATTGGTTAGATGATGCAGAATTATGGATCGTACCTCTATGCACAGAAATTAATGGTGAGTATTCTAAGATAATTTAATTAACCTATGTATCGCTTTCGTGTCTAGACACTGAAAAACTAATAAACTCAAACTGGGAGCCTACATGATAGATTGATCAACCATAAGTTGGACTGAGTGTGCAATGTCTCTAAAAAGTGATGCAAAATGAAGCTGTATAATTATGTGGACACTTTTCAATGACAGTTAGTCACAATATACTGTCAAAGTCTTGAGTTGCAAGAATAGACCAAAACAAAAAGACAAATTAGGAAGTACACCATATTCGATAAAACTATTGTAGGCTGAAAGACAACTTAATTCGAAGTACTTAAAATGTCAAACCTTATAGACCTAAATTTGAGGTAGACCAGACAGGTTCCACTTGAACCCATAAAAGCAAAATGGTGATAACCCGTCACCAGCATTGACATATTTTATGTAGATGATGCCTTATAAGATACCACAGAACGATAACATATGTGTATCCACATACATATTTCAATTACTAAATAAGTTGAAGTTATTTATTTTACTCATTTTTACAGAATGGAAGTACTTTCAGTTGAGTTTATTTAACTTAATTAATCAAGACAAGTTCAAGAAACAATATCTACCTAAATTTGAAGAATCAGTTACGAAATCTGGAGGTGTACCATTTGTCAGCTCAACTCCGTATATTGAAGTACTACGAGGACTAAAAGACATCGACTACCTAATTATTACTGAATGGCCTGATGAGGATAGCGCATTAACGTGGAACAAAAGTCGTAAGTGCTGGCTAGAAATATCAGCTCACTTATTAATGATAACTAATAGAGTAATCTTTTTTTGAAATCAGGCATTCAACTTTTATAGAGTTATGTCTGAAAACACTCTGATTCCTATTAGTTCGGTGTTCCTCTGATTCACTTGGGACTCCAAGATCATAAGGGACCGAATGACATTTTAATTTACCGTTGATCAACGGTTGCCAAGTGATTGCATCTCTCGACTCCTCTGCTTTGTAGATTGGTCTTTAGGTCAAAGGCTTAGACAATGGTTCTCTAACGAAACGACCTGCTCCGGTTTGGGTGTTCGGGAAGTAGTATTTCAATAATTTCACAAACAAGACGAATTATTGTGGAGAAATGATTGTTTTGTCATACCTTACTCTTCTTTTCTTTTGTTTACCTTCCCATATCACTCATCTATGGTAGAAATCTTGTATTGTCCAAGCAAACTGAAGTTACTGACTCGTCGAAAGTTGAATGCTATCACCGAATACCGATATGAATCAGCGTTTTTGAGAATGACTATGACGTTGAACTGGTTTCTTTCATCGTTTATACACTAATGCAGATCAGACAAATGATATATCTGCCTTTCTTTAGAAAGTATTGGGATTGACGTGTGTTGTTCATCCGAAACTCATAGTCAAGACTAATAAAGAATCACATTTTCTCTGCATCTATCTGCTCGAAACGCTTGTACCGATAGCATTTATTTAGAATCCTATGGCATCATCCAATTTAGCTGGCGCTGGTGTCCCATTAAGTGTGCCAAAACAGAGGTGATGCCAATCAACTAGATCCCCGCTCCTTTAGAAGCTCTTACCTGCACTCTGTCCATGCACCAGTTTGAGTCGACTTTATCTTATGTTTCAGTGGCCAATAAATTCATCATCCTAAATGGGTCGGTATAATCAGGTTGGTTTTAGCTTTCAAACCGGGTTATGTCCAAGGCTAACAGCTATTTACCCAATCAAAAAGATAATCACCACGCACTTGCATGATACCAGGTAAATAGCGAGTATGTTCACTTGCTGCGTTGCAAAATATCTTGCTCATTGGAACTGAGTTTCGACAGGCTCTTTACAACTCCCTGAGTCACATTATTTTACAGCAGATAATAGTGATGTTGACGACAAACAGATCCTTGTGCAGTTTGCGTAAGGACTGAGAAAACTGGTGGTTGTTGCGTGTTAAAGAGATAGGGACAGCAGCTACATCTGATTTGTACAGGAAGCCATCATAGCTCATCCGAACCACTGACGGCGGAAGACTTAGTGTGGGTGAGACGATCTGTGAAGACCTGAGTAAGTTTATGAATATACGGTAATAACTTATGTAATGTGTTGGTGAATGAGGCAATATGATTAGGAAAGTAACGAATGGAAATTCTGAAACAAATATGGTGAAACCATGCTTCAATAGCTGATCACTAAAATATACAAGCATGTCTAACAGAAGACTGCATACATATACAGTGGTCTTCAAAAGATGTGACTGGTTTCATTGTTTCGTCAAGCCTAAAACCCCTGATACTACTATAAATAATTAGGTAGATTTTATGCTAAATATTAGTACAAAATGAAATGCTTTTATATGGATAAAAATAAGATACATCACCTTACTAGTCATTTCAGTTCCTTGAGGTTTGCTGATTTCTAAGACTATAGTCATGTTGCCTTTTTTTCTCTACAGGCGAAGCAGAAGAATTAAGAAATATGAAGAATACATTTTCCAAGTCTTCAACAATACTGACGACGATAAGACATAATTACTAGAGTATTTTTGTCAATGATTCATATATGTACACAATTATCAAAGTAAACATTTACCTGATAAACAATTTTTTGCAACAACAGTACCATCCGCAACTTAGAATAAACACTAAAATCAAGCAACTCAACTTCCGAAGCCGCTTATAAACTTTAGCAGGTTACTGAGTTAAGATCGTATCGAACTATAAACAGACTTAAGTAGTGAATAAGATCTTTTATTTGACTAATAGTCAGTTATAACTAATATGGAACTCTAGGACGAATATATATCTCTTCAAGATACCTTATCTAGCTCATGATTTTAGCCCCGACCGTAGCTGCTAACTTGACGTGGTGGTCGGGCTTGCCTATCGTCATGACCCAACCGAGCTATGCTGGCTGGAACTTATGTTCCTGAAGGTCCTACCATGCCAGGCAGGTCGACTGGAAAACGATGAGACTAAAAGCAGCTACCCAAGGTCTGAGGGCGAAGTCGTACTGCTGACTGCAGAGGGGTGTGACAGCAGTAAGGTGTTTCCCTCGGACAACCAGCATCTGCAGCGATGCTGCCTTCTCGCAAGGAAGGAAGGGTTAGAAAAGGTCGACCTTAAAAATGTCACACCTCACCCTACCTCACGGATTTCCGTCTCCATCGGTAAGGGTGCCCACTAACGGCTTTTAAGAGTGGAGCTAATACTCAAAAATCCTTTCATAAAAAGGTCGTGCGTGACCGGCCTCAAGCAGTTGTTCCTTGGGCTCTGCGGTCAGGCACCCAGGTCTCTAAGACCAACGCTAATATACCTTCCATTTCAGGTTCCTCAAGAAACAACATTCAACGGTGTGAGCAGCCGGGAAGTAACAACCATCCTCATACCCGTAACAGCACACGAGACCAAGTCGGTCGAAATCAAATCTTTTTTACACCCACACACACCTCTCTTCTCTCCACAACGAACTCTACACACAGTCCCCTTTCTCACTGCACCGCTAATGCAGATGAAGCGAGTTCACGAGATATAGTAATAATGGCTGGTGACTTTAATGCTCAAGTAGGTACACTAAGTAAAAATGAAAGACACCTAGGTGGATGTTATGATGTCGCGGCTCAGAGAACAGAAAATGGCGACCGTCGGTTGCAACTGTGCTCAGATAACCGCCTATTCTTAGCAAACACTAACTTGAGGCATAAGGAAAAGCATCTGTTGATCTGACGACCTCCAAAGTCGTCTCAACTAGATCACATTGCCATCAGCCACCGATGGAGGTGTTCGATAGAGGATTGCCGCTCGTTCTGGGGCACATGTTTAGATTCAGATCATGCCCTAGTGCGAGCTCGTATCTGTTTGAGGCTTACTGGGCGTAGGAAAGACACCGTAAGGAAGCCTCCTAGGGTTTTACTAAATGATAAACTAAGAAAATATTTCAGGAGCAACTAGAAAGAGAGTTAGGCAACCATGTAAGCGATTCCCATCCGGAAGTAGATTGGAATGATATCAAAAAGGCTGTGGAAACAGCAGTGATATCTGCTAGTAAGGTAAACCATAAGGCTAGGATGAAGCCGTGGATCTCAGTAGCATCCACCGAACTGATGGATGCCCGTAAACTCATTCCGCCTTTCTCTGAACCTGATGAAGAGCAAGTCAGCCTAAGCGAAGGCTGGTAAAAAGCCTACGCAACGACCGTGAACAGTTTTGGGTGGCGAAAGGAAAAGCGATGGAAAAGGCAGCCTCGATAGGCAACAGTAGGCAACTATTTAGACTCATCAAGGAAACTGGTATTAGGAACTCGAATGTGAGTGAGATTATCTCGGAAAAGGATGGGATTATTATCCATTCTCAATCCAGGAGATTGGACCGATGCGCAGAACACTTTAGGGATCAGTTCAACTGGCCTCGAGACACTCTTCAGTTACTCACGATCTCCAGTCATCCTGAATGGCAAATCGACGTAAGTTCCCCGACTGTTTATGAAGTTGAGAATGCGTTAGGAAATCTGAAGCGAGGACGAGCTGTAAGTCTTGATAGGCTGACGCCTGAGATGTTTAAGGACGGTGGTCCAGTCTTAGCAGCTAGGTTGACTGAGATCTTAGGTAGAAACTTGGAACCGGACATAATCCCATCCGAAGGGTCTCAATCACTGATTGTCCCAACGTATAAGAAAGGACACAAGTCTTCTTGTGACAATCACAGGGGAATAAGTCTAACTAATATAGTTTCTAAATTGTTAGCCTCGATTATACTTAGACGCCTAACTAGTGCTCGTGAAGAGAACCAGTCTGGTTCCAGACCTGGACGTGGATGTATAGACCACATATTCACACTACGACAGGTCCTGGAACACAGACACATTTAGGCGTCCTACAATAGTTGTCTTCTTGGACCTTAAGGCGGCATTCGACTCAGTGGACCCTGAGGTTCTGTGGCAGTGTCTGTCACTGAAAGATGTACCAAAGAAGTACATCAACCTTATACTACAAGCACTCTACTCGAACACCACTGGTAGAGTGAGAGCTTATGGCGAACTTATCATAGACATGCTCCTAGAAATAACCTTATCCTCGTCTGAATTTTCGGGAGTAGACCTTCTACCAGGTGGCTCGCTTATTGACTTAGAATATGCCGATGACATAGTCACTTGGTGAAGACGCTGACAAGATGCAGAGTCTTCTGACTACCCTAAGCAACAATGCAAGCATGTTCGGGATGCGGTTTTCCCCCTCGAAATGCAAAATGTTGCTTCAAGATTGGGTTGCATCGGTACCTGAACTAGTGATAGGGAGTGAAGTAGTCGAGCGTGTAGACCGCTTCACTTATCTGGGGAGTCTCGTCAGTGCTGATGGCCCGGTGACTGACTAGATCTGAGCACGGATACAGAAGGCTCGAATGACTTTTGTCAACCTGCGTCACTTATGGCGTAGGCGAGATATCCGTTTGCTGACTAAAGGACGAGTGTACTGTGCAGCAGTTCGCTCCGTCCTACTATATGGCTGTGAAACATGGCCAGTGAGAGTAGAAGATATTCGTAGGTTACTGGTTTTCGATCATAGGTGTCTTCGATGCATTGCTCCTGTATCCTGGGACAATTTGCTCAGAATAAGACAAAATATTTAAGTGTGGTGCCCTAGTTAAACTTTTATCCTTAATATGAGCTAAGACTAGTATTCACTATGAGAGTTAATTCTATAGATCAACGGTTTACGCTGTATAAGTTTGCCGAACGGATTATATAAAGTTACGTATTCAACATAACTAGATGGTCACCATGACAATGATTCACGGTTTTCCTAGAAACTGAAACCCGATGCTTATTTGAGAATACTGATATGCACGGATGCAACGAAACATATGAACAAAAACGTCCTTATGAAAAATGTGACTGGTGATGCAGATGACTACTATCAGTTTCGCCCATCCTAATATTGGGTTACGTAAGTTATCTACTATACACCTGACTTCTTGGTCAAATATAAAGCAATAATAAACGGTGGGATTGCATTACTGGCAATATTGAAATTATTTGTATCAAAGAAGGTGAAATGATTTTTACATTGGCTAGTTAATTCTTTCACCAGTTTGAACAATATTTCATAGAATCAGCGTTGACAGACACTAAAAATAGAAAATAACAATGAAAACATAAATGAGCGTGATTATTTTGAACTTTTAGTGAACATTTCATACCTAAAACTCTAACTTAACCGTACGAGCGCATTTAGAAAACAAATTTCTACTGTGAAATATCATATGTAACCCTTTCAGTTACATGGCTTAATTTACCGATGGCTTTACTCAAAAAATCATATCGACAATTACACAACCAAAAGATTTCTGCAGCTCTGAATATGGAATTTCAGCAGACATGTTTTGATCGACATACAACTAACTCTGGAACAGGAGTCCACTTACCATGACAAACACTTTATAACATCTGCTGGCAGGGTGGAGACGTATGTATATCCATAGGTTCGTCAACTGTCCTAGCCTCATTTGAAATAATTGGCGAAAATAGACAACTTACTATGATTGACAAAGCATGAACACCAGCTTGTAGTTCGTTTTCAACTGACTTATACACTAAGCGTTCTCTCTAAATTGATAAATATAGTAGAACAAATTATACCTTAACAGGAGAAAGGTTATTGAAATAGTGTGACACGATCACAACTCGAAAATGTGTTTCCCCACCTATCAGAATTGACAAGATGTGTGAGCTTTATGAGAACTTATATGCCTGGTCTGCGATTATGAAGGTGACTTTCATTATATATTCTCAAAAAGCTCGGCTGAAAAAATGAAAGTTTGACAATTTACTTTAAACTTTTGGGATAAAACCAGATTTAATCGCGACTCTATTGGACCGGCACATGAAGACATGTGCCTCCAAGTGCCGTTTGACACCGACCAAATTACTTTGTACAGCTCTGTAGAAACACCGAAAAACATGGTCACCTGTAGTCAGCCACTTTTTTGGAGTACGATTACAGTGCCTGAGAACAATGCAAAAGTAAGAAAGTGTGGCTAAAAATGACGAGAATATATATGTTTATGATATAAGAATTTTCATCTAAATTTGAATGAATGCTCTTACAGTAAGTCACCGAGTTAAGACACGACATGAAAGGGGAAAGTCATGTTTGTAAGTCTTAGCGACTGAATCCGTAATATCCGTATCACCCAAAACCCTGGTCCAATCTTTTTCAAATAAATATCTTGAAATTTTTCTTCAATGTCTCATAAGCCTCTGAAAACGAGATATTTTGGAGTTTATTTTGCCTAGAAAATTATCAACTTGAAAAAAGCATCAAACGTGAAATGGATTCGATTATTGGGTGCTGGCTTATCTGAGATCAGTCAGTCAGTTAGAACGTAGAACTTCTTACGTACGTACATCAGTTTAAGTTGCCATATTGTCTTCGCAAAATACTTCGGATTCGTTGGCCAGACACACCAGGAAGAAGCTATGGAAGTGGATAGGACACACACTACGAAAAACACCTAACTGCGTCACGAGACAAGCCCTCACATGGAACCCTCAAGGCAAAAGGAAAAGAGGAAGGCCAAGGAACACATTACGCCGAGAAATAGAGAAATATATGAAAAGAATGAACAAACATTGGACAGAATTGGAGAGGGAAGCCCAGGACAGAGTTGGTTGGAGAAAACTGGTGGGTGGCCTATGCTCTATTCGGGGTAACAGGCGCAAGTAAGTTTGCTACCATCAAGTAGAACCCTAAGAATTTTCCTTTCAACGACCTTACTACATCAAGTAAGATGCAGACAAATACGCTAACATACTAGAGTATGATCTGAATCTAAACAAATGCTCCAGAATGAGCGGCAATCTTCAACGGAATAGCTTTGTTTAAACATCAACTAATGGCGGTAACAGCTTTGTTGACGTTAAAGCCAATTACTGTGCAGTTAAAATGATAATAAAAATTATTCTTCATGAGGATCGCCGTAAAAAATTGAACTAGTTCGTCCCGTAGTTCTGATAAGCAGAATTCAGGATTTTAACTACCAACAATGGACAAATCAGGCATTTTAGAAATATCACTATGTCAATGTCCAATCTAACTACATTTGAAAATCCATGAATGTTTAAGATGGCTGAAAGGATTGGTGACCACCGAAAACTACCTGAGTGACAGAAAGCCCTACACTATCTAGCTGCATATAGCAATAACGTATCCAGTTGTATAGGCAAAAATAATGCTGAGTAATAACAGATACTGAGCGTGTTTTGCACGGAATCGGACTGTTAGCTTCTCTATCGTCTAGTTTTTGAACCTTAAATTTTCGGCCTTATGATCTAGATGAATCGATTGACTAATTTTCCAACATGCGAGACTATTTTGGTAGACACGATGCAATTAGGAGACAAGGCAGTGAAAATAATATTTATGAATGAAATTTATGAGTGTGGTTATGTATACATTATTACAAACAACTCACATTTGTACATTTTTACTGGCAATACAAAAGTGCGCTTTTTGTTACTTCACATAGACATTTGAACGCTATATATGATATATATGGTAACGTTCTTTTTATGATTAATAAAAACAACGTTCTGTAATTTATAATCTATAACAATCAACATAGTAACGGATTCAAGCTTAATGAACTACTTTCGCCTAAATAGTATGCGAAAATTTTTTTCCCTTTGAATCGTATGCAAAATCACTTAGGAAGTAACGTGTGTATTGTTTTTGTTTTTACTTCCTGAAAACACAATTGAGTAGTAGAAAAACATGTAGCATGTGGAACATAAATAGCTTGTATTAAGTGTAAACTTTATATATAAAATCTTATGGATTATACGTATACAGTGAATTTGGCGACAAAGTTTCAGGCATCTGTTTCCTATTCACGAAGAATATCGAAAAACTGTACAGAAATTTTGTTCGAAAAATAGTTTCGTAAGCAAAAAGAACTCTTAGCTGAATCAAGGAGCTTGACCTTTTTTCTTTGAATCACCCTAAATTTTGAAAATGAGCGTTAACTATGGATAAAATCATCGCATTAGAACATCCAAACAACTCACTGAGAGGAGTAATTAACCTTGAAAATCAAATTAATCGCGCTAAAAATCGAGACCAAAATAGGTCAGACCCAATATCCATTTTAATGAATGAAAGCAAGCAAGTATTCAAGAATAACATAATTTTTCAATGTATTATATATTTCTTTACCTATCGTAGGCCATGTCAGCTTCCGTCTGTATTTTAATAAACAGTTAATCCAAGCCAGACATTTTGTGTAGTTAGACAGTATACAAGACGAAGTATAAGCCAGTGATCAGTGGCACTGTTCCAATATATTAGGTAATTTTGTGTGCATTAAGCGGCTAGGGTATTCCTTGGAAGGATCTGGGAATAGAATAGAGCGCCAGATTATTTCATGTCTTGAAGCGGTCAAGAAATCTACCTAACTGATAAACAAAGTAATTCAAGATACCAGCTCCTCAAATTCTAGCGAGTAGCCTTTATCAGAGAACAAGAAACTTATTTAAGGAAAAGTTTTGATGTATGCTGGACCTGCAGTGTTGTATTTTGACTAACCTAGTGTAATTTCTAAATTTAAAGTTCC